GTATTATGGAGATGCAAATCAAGTGGCATATGCTGCAATGAGTGAGATGAGTGGGTTCATCATTTTAATCTCCTGACCCATATTTGCAGCCTCCTTCCCCCCTTCAATTACTTTATCAATTTGAGCTTCAAATGATTACCTTGTGGAGAAAAATGGCTGGGGGAAAAGGTTGGGTCGGGGTGGGCACAGCGACAGTGGAAGGGTACAGGTTCACCTACTTGGCCACCCATTCTATGTACCCATCCATCCTAACACCTAGTTTACCCTTGTGCATGTCTTCTGATGCTTTCAAATAGACTTGAAGATAAAAATTGAGAAGGCTTATTGGATGATCATCATAACTGAATTTGTTATAGGGATAATTAATAACCTCAGCTTGTAGAACTCAGTCAGGCACGTTCCTCAACGGCACAAAACTCACACTCATGACCGGGCATAAGCAAACATTTTACCTGCATGATGTATTTAACCTCCAGCCCAGGAAACAAGAGATGTTTTTCTTTTGAACAGGCATCTTGTGAAATGAGCTCCAGACTGGTCTCCTGTTTTCATTACAGCGTGTGGTTTATTAAGGCTACTGCACTGCACTTTCTGTCTGGTTTTTTATTTGGCAGAATTACAGATAAATTTTTGCCTTTAAAACCAGTTTTCTAGTAGACAGTGCTGTACTGGTTCAAGTTTGGGAATGTAGCTTTTAAATGTAGCTTTTGGGATAGCTTTTAAATGTTTTGCATAATTCAAAATACATGGTGGCCTTATCCACCTGTTTCATAACTAGGAAGGTGGCATTTCAGTTTCCCATTGTCACAAATCCCTTTTTTCTTTGCACAGGACAATTATTATTCTTTTACTGTATTCTTTTAAGCAAAACTAATTCCATGGCAAATGGGTATTGCAGTACTCGAGGAGGTATAATCAGCTGTGATGGTTCTTCAGCTGATGCAGGCTTTTTACCTCTCTGTCTAATCCTGCATAAGGATTAGAGTCTGAAGATACTTCCAGGCAGAAGGGTCCTACACTACCAATGAAAAATACATTGTGCACATCCTCTACCTAATTGGTCCTTACTATGTTTCTGTTGGTGGGGGTGGGGGAAGAAGGACAGAGAAAAAGCTGTGGGAAAACATGGGAGGGTTACAAGTTGAAAACATCATCTGGACACCCAGTAAAATGTGATGAACTAGACAGGACAATTGTAGGATATGGGGCCTATTTTGGGGCTCCTCTTAAATCTGAAACTTGAAACTGTGCACAATAATGTGCATTATATGATCAGCACTACATCTGCCAGTGGATGAGTCTGTTAGAGTGTTTCTGTGCACATGGACCTACCCATTTACTGAGGTTATTTTCAGAGCTGGAGCTCTCTTCTGAGTACCTCCTGTTTTCAGAGGTTAGTTGATTATGGTTCCCCACACCTTAAAACTTTCTCCCCTAGGAGTTCATCTGGCTCCCACTTCTTTGTCTTTTTGTTCCCAGGAAAGCCCTTTGAAGTATTGTCTGGGTTGGTTTTGACTGTGCTTCTGTTGTGTTTTCATTGATCTGTTATGCATTAATGAAAATGCATATTTGCTTGCTCAAGGCAGGTGCACCATGCTTTCTTAGAGTTCCTGCTGTACAGCAGATCCACATTTTTCATCACCTGCCATTTCATCACCTGCCTTCATCCTCAGAAGATGCTTTGAGACGCACAGGAGGCAGTAGTTAAGGTATCAGGAAAGGCCCACGGCATAATCAGTGTTTCCTTATCAATCTCTAGATTCAACCCACTACATTTTAATTCTTTGTTGAAGCAGTGGATGTTGTTACATTTGTAAGCAGCTTTGGGTTAGGGTTAAACAAACCAAAACTTGAGATGAACACAGATCTCTTGCTATCTGTGTCCTCCGCAAACACCACCCCTGTCCATAATCTTGACTTGCACCAAACACTTTCTGATCTCTGACAAATATCTGTCTACTCTTCTCCTTCCAGTGCAGAAAAAAATCTTTCCTCTTTTCCTGGAAGAGAGTAATTTCCTTTTACTTGCTGCTACAAGCCCTCACATATGAGTTGCTGGCTTCTCTACCTAATCTTACCAAACAGTGCATCGGACTTGCATATTTAGCATAAATGGGGAGCCATCAGAGACTTATCAACTGGAGTTGTTGACCACTGTTGTACTGGTATGCAGTTAGCACTGTTGAATTCTAGAAGTTGACAGTAATACACTGTCTTTCCAAATATCTTTTTCTTGATGAATTCAATATTTTTGTAAAATATTATCTCTTTGTCAGAAAAATTTATAGTCACAGAATCAGCATAGTAATTGGCAGCATCACTGTTAGAGCCACTAACATTTTAGTAGTTTAGAGAATTAGACAGCATAACTGATTGAAACCTACATATCAAATTCTTTCTTATTTGATTGTCTTAATACAATTTAAGTCCCTGTGGCTGCCAATGCAATAAAAGGTTGTGGATGGTCAGGCAGTACTAACTTTTGTTTAAATTGTACTCATTTCCAGCAGAACATGCAACCTGTTAGCAAATTCACAACATGCCACTTCATAACTTAACAATAAATCATATCAAATGAAAGTCTTCCTTTTTAATACTATAGTACCAAGGCTCTGTGTCAAGGGACAAGTTTTCTTCCAATTGCAAATACCTTAAAATGCATCATGTATTTTAGGGTCATTATGTGTTACCTAATCATGGCAATTGCATGGCATGTTGTATGGAATTTTGAAAGAATCTAATGACTAAAAAGTAAGAGTAATTTTTTCCGCAGATACTTTCATTCCTTGCTCTGTAGCTTCATCTAATTTTACTAATTTTAATCATTGCATCATGTTGTAATTTTAGTCAGAAGAATGGCATCATTTAATTTCATCAAAAGTGCAGAAAGACAAATGGATGATATTAATAATTTACCATCTTTGTATAATACTGTGGTGCAGAATACTGGAAGGATTGATGGCAAAAGCAGTTAACAAATTTTAGTAGCCTCCATTAGCTTTTCATTGTCATATGCTTGTGGAGCTGGATACAATAAGGTTTGCAAGAGATCTCAGTCTAGGGAACTAATTACTTTGCCGATTGCCATGCTGATGAATAGACTCTCATTGTATCATTCCCCTGAAGATGAGGGGCAGTTTGTGATTCACGACTCTATCCTAGTTGATATTTGATAGTAATTTTAACAGATAAATGAAGGAAGGCAGAATGATGAAGTGGCTATCCATGCTCCATGACTATCAAATGCATACACATAGCCAGCTGTGTTCTGCCTTTTTTTGTAATCGCTAATGGAGAATTTTAAGTTATTAATCATGGTTTGAGCAAATGTAGCTTTTTCTTATGTGTATAATAATCCTAGATAAATCCTACAGAATTACTTGCCAAGTAAAGTACCTCAAGCCTGTGCATGTTTCTTAAATATATGGTGCATAGATAATAACACTGTGAACTCTTCAGTTTAAAAGGATCCAAGTAATGTACAGAATAATGACCAATTGCTGAGGCAGGAAGGAATGTTGTGATTTTATTCCTGAATTAGATTTATTAATGAAAATTCATTACATGTATTAGTCTACTATCAAACATAGACTTTTAAAAACCCTTAATAGATAGGATTGCACAGTAGACTTATAATTTTTTATTTAATCTCTAACAGGATGCATGTGTGTATATGTTATATGCATATCTGGAGGAGAAATAATTAAAGAAGAGGGACCACCAGTGCTATATGTCTGTAATCATTTGTAATCTATAAATTAATCAGAGCTATTAATTTGTCAGACTTGACAGATATACAATGATTATTAGCTCATGAAAAAGAAATGAGATTATAGTTTGTAGTTTTGGTTTACCACTCTTGGAGTAACCATTCTTTTATACAAAGAATTATAATTTTGTAATTGGAACATGCATATTGGTTGTAGATCTCAAGTGAAAGTGTTATTCCTGTAGGCTTTATTATTTTACATATAATAAAATTTATTTGCATATGTAGGTATGAATACACACCTGAATTGGCTGCTTTTCCAGTTCTTAATGCTTAATATACAGTTTTACAGCACACTCACTCATGATCTTCTAACAAGATAAGACTTGGCATTTATATATAGCCATATTAAAAAGATCTATATTTGAATAATACAATGTAGAAAATAACAAATGTGATAGAACCTTTTTTAAAATGTAAATTTTTAAAGTATGCCTTTGATTTCACACAACATAACGTGTAGTTCTTAATTAAATGCAAAAATGCAGCCACATAAAACAGAAATCCAATCTGATTTGTTTGAAAATAGATTGCTATTTCACTCTCCTGGAATGGTTTATTTAAAAACAGGAAATGGAAACGAAATGTATTTTCTTGTGTTGTTCTAAGCCTCAGGGGCTAAATGTAATGAATATTTTAAGAGATTATTTTAATTAAATTCCTGCACATCTAAACAGAGTAATATTTTATTATCACATACATAATCATGTAACAGAAGTATTCATTAAAGTTAACACTTTCTCGACCAAGAATTCGTGGTATGATTTACTGACCTTGTGCAAAAAGGCACAAATTAGGAAGAAAAATGAAGGGGGACAGACTTTGATTAATATGGGTAATGCTATACCATATTTATAATAGCCTTTTCCCTATTCTGGTTTATAAATGCAGTCACTGAGAAAGGTGCCCTGCTGAGGCTGAAATGAGGCTGAAATCGGAGCACATGCCACTAGAGTGTGGGGAAACTGATCACACTGTCAGCAATTCATTTCAAAATGATGTATTTAGTGCTCGTTTCACCTTCCAAGAAAAAAAAAAGGGAAAGGAGTTCCTCAGACTGGAAGGTGATATTGTTATTTTCAAGGACATACCTAAGTTAAAGATTGTAGAAATGGGTTTAGGGTGCTATTTTAAAAAAAAAGAGCAAACAAGGAAAGCTTTATGCAGAAATTCAGTGCTACCATGCTGTTTGATAATTGCTAACATATGTGGTTCCTCTGTTTCATTGTAGTCGTCCTCGTGAGTTCTGGCGCCTTGACTACTGGGAAGATGACTTGCGGCGCCGGCGACGATTTGTGCGTAACCCCCTTGGATCGACACATCCTGAAGCGACATTAAAAGCAGCCATAGACCATGGTCAGTGTAAAATCTGCTTCTTGCCAGTAGCAGCAGGTACAGTACATGACAATGAAGCTTAGAGCTTCATTCATCTGAGAGAATATGAACTCTCACATTCAGAGGTCTCTTAGTTGCATTTCAAGACCTAATTATATGGCATCTTAATGCATCTCTCTGTGTAAGTCCTTTACAAAAAGGATTAAACTTGCCAGTGATTTGAGACAAAGGTATAAGATTCTTTTATTCCCTTGGCATGGTTTGTGACAAATTACCTTATATGAGTTGTAGCAGAATGGACAGGGTATATTTCCCTGTGAGAAATCCCCACCGATCATTTCAATTAAGTTCAGGTTAAAAGGAAAACAGTGTTCAAATCTAACTGTATTCTAGGGTCACTATATTTTGATTGCCCTGCATCCTATTTTCTTTTTCTTTTTAATCTGGGAAGTGATAAAAGCCAGAAAGCAAGCCATTTCCCAAATGTGAAGAGTAAGAATATATATGTAGCTGTTTCTATTTTCTTAATTTGTATCACATTGCATCCTTGAAAATTTGAATGATTTACGCTGCAGAAGGATGTTTCCTTTTTTCTTATTTGAAAAGTACTTTGAGCTAAATACAGAAATCATAATAATCATGGAACACGATGAAAACAAATTTTAAAATAATCATGATTATTTATGTTTTTAGGCTTCTGTGTCAGTAAAGTCAAACAAATCAAACCAGTTATTAGTTAAAAGCTGATACTAGTTTTGTTTTGTTAGAAAGATTAGATAGATTACTTTGGAAGTGAACACCTCTTGATTAAGAGAGTGAATTGCTCAACTCAGTTTGTACTGATCTCTTCCACTTTAACATCCCTTCCCTATTTTCTTCCAGTGTCAAACAGATAATTTCCATTTGAAATTATCTTAGTATTGTGTGTCCCTAAGGGGGAGAACATAATTTGAAAAGTTTGTCCTGGGCCAAGCATCTTAACCTCTTGTACCCATTCCTAAACAGCCATTTCTGAAGGAAAATGTCTCCAATATGTCAGCAACTAAAATGCCAAATATGACAGAAGTGCTTTAAAATAAATGACCAAACAAAGAAGAGTCAATAATGGGATCTTAATGCAATAATAGCTCTTGTTCTTCTCATCCTTTTGCTAAAGGAGAGAAGGGGGAAATGGGATGTAGAATTAATTAGGTCCTTTCTGCTTTGGGATTTGTTGTACATTTCTGTGTTTGATATACACTAAGGGTTTTAAGAATGTACATTGTATTTGACCATTATATTTAACTTCAAGTAAAATTTGACAGTATCATTTGTATTCTTTTCCCCATTTGCAATAATGAACTGCAACACTAAATTACAACTGTAGAATCTTTACGTATATTCATCTAATGTGGATTTAATGTGTTTTATGAAATGAAACATCTTAAACATTACTAAATAGCTTTACTATTTTGAACATAACTTCTGAATTATTAAAATAATAATTTTAATATATAGTCATTTAAAAACAATTATCTATTTCATTCTTTAAAAAGCAATGTACTTTGTAATACTGTAGAAATAATGATAATATCCTACTGAAATTAAGATATTCTGAAGCATACATACAGTAATAGAATCTCAAACAGTCTTAAAAACTAAAATTTAACAAGTGAGTGTCATAATCACATGTGACAATCCCCTTTACATTATTTTATCAGATACAAATTTTTCAGTGGTGAAAACTTATATCAAACAATGTATTATACTGTTACTTCTCAGTAAAACTACATAAAATGGTAAATCAAATACAACAGTTAAAATGCATTAATATATGCACTTTACATGAAGGGATAGCTTTTCTTGAGTAGGCTGGATAACCCAACAATTCCGTCTTCTCATCTAAATTCTCATCAACAATATCAATATATAGCCCTTTGAACTAAAGAAAATAAAGAACAATCTAGAGTAATTTGAGATCAGGGAGCCCTTGATTTTATCTTACCTTGAGACTCAACAACAAGCTAATGGTCGTATAAAAATAAATAATAAAATGATGCACTTGGGGCCCAACTAACTACTCAGGTGAGTTCAAGAACTTGAGTCCATTCATTTATGACTTTAAAATTAATTTCCTTTGAATAGCAGGTTTACAAACTGATTTTGAGATCCAGTTACAACATTTGTTTGCCATGAAATATGTCCTGGAGACATACATCAAAATGGTTCCTTGGACATGAAGAACAAGCTGTACTGTTTGGTGGCTGATGGCCAAAAAAATCTAAATGACAGGCCTGTAATACAATACAATAATTCATAGTCAATTAATTATGAGTTTACATGATTTAACTGAATGATCTACCAACTATATTTGGATATATGTAAAAACAATAGTTCTGAAGCAAAAGGCATATTTCTATTGTTCTTAGATGATGCATGTTTCATAGAAAACATTGGACAAGCTTGTATGACATGACAGTCCATTTGTTAAAACAGATCATGGGCTATGTGAAGGGTTTTTGACCCTTAAATGATTCGTCTAATTTCAGACTACAAGGCAATTCATAGCAACTTCAGCTAGGTCTCACATATACATAATGGCAGATGGCATGTACTGCAATGCAGCAGGGTTAATTAACCTATGACAGGCTATCATGTGGTCCAAACCAAATAATTCTGTCCTGGATTAAAAGGAAGGGAACAAATTTCTTCTGAATTGGTTGAGGCTACCTATCTGCAGTTTTTTAAAGTACTTGATTAAAAATGTTGAAAAATATATTTACCAATCTAATCAGAGGCACTACTATGTTGCTTAGATGTAATGTATTAAATGATCAAACACTGCAAACTTTGAAATCTACATTTGCGTCCCAACCAAAATGTATATGCATTTAACCCAGGCATCATACATTGGCCTGAAATGGAAAGGTCATGGAACTGATTCACAAAGTAATTTCTGCATGCAGTGCCCACAACACTCTGTAGAATGTTACCATGTGAACAAACAGTATGTGAATATGTTTTTGTAGCTGTTTCCATTATTGTGCTGGCCAAGTAACTTTTTTCACTTTTATAGAAAATAAGATGGAGACAGTATAGTGAAATTTTGACGGGAAGTTGTTTAAAAGAAAAATTACAAATCTTTCAAAATGCATACAGTCTAGAGTTTTGGCAAACATGTACTGCCAGGGTTGGACAGGTTGAGGCCTTCCAGATGTCTTGGCCTACAGTTCCCATCAGCCATGGCCAGCCAATGGTAAGAGATGCTGGGAGTTGCAGGTTATTACATCTGGAGGGTTGCAACTTGCCCAGCCAAAGAGCAATTCTGAGAATACTTTTGTAAATGCTTTTGATGTCTGTTGAGTATATGGAGATTTTCAAGATGGTACCAATGGAATTTAGGCTGATATAGAATCACTCTGTAAAATACATTCCCCCACCCCACCCCAATAACTGAGTAACATATCTCATAATATGATAGGTGCTAGAATTCTGGTGATCAGTTCCTGCACTTGAGGGTGTCTCTAGAACTCTCCATGGAATTGTTGTCTTGTCTTGTAGCTTCTTTTCAATAATTCATCGCACAGCATTCTATTTCAATTATATACACATCATTCTACAATCCATTTATGCTGAAGCAATCAGATTCAAGCCAATTCAGATAATTTTGTTTAGTGAGTAACTTCACTGAACTTCATTTCAGCTGAGCAGAGATTTGGATCAGGCTGATAATCTTTCTTGTGGGGAATATCCTCTTTTATAACTTTTGCAAGTTATAAAAGACTTTTACTTATGAAGTCTACTTACTGTGGTTTATAATTTCATATCAATCTTAATTAGAAACCAGAATGACAATTTGAATAGTAATAAGAGAACATTGTAGATATACCAGTTGGTCACATAATTCTTACTGCCTGCCCTTCTGGATTATAACAGCAGTCACAATGGATAGACCAACTATTGAAACAAAACAAGATGTAATTTCAGGCTTGCTCAATGCATTTTGCAATGTACCTCTGTTGGGAATGGGCTGGTCCCATAGCTCCTACCCAAGAGAATGCGGCCTCTTGAAGCTTATAGTTGGAAGAAGTGGAAGAAATCCAAAAACAATCAGAAATGAAGACATAGTATAGTAAAGCCTAGAGAGAAAAAAATCAGCTCTGTTGGAGCCTCATTTATGTATTTCAGTAGCCATCTCGTCGAGGGATTGATTTGATTTGAAGGAGAGCCTCTGGTGCAGAGGTGGCAGTGTAAATACCTGAAGACTAATGTTCTCTGTTCAGACAATCAATATCAGCCCCATGACTATTCTCCGGGCTACCTTCTAGTTAAAAACAATTTTTTTAATTCTGACAATTTAATTGCCCTTCCCAAGCACACATTAAATTGCCTGGGAAAATGGACTGTAGGAGATTTTTCAAAGAGGGAAATAAGGGAACATCCAAAATAGTTATTTGTAAAAGTCAGTCTGGAAATTTGACTGCCCTAACTTTGTTTTGCTTTGCTTCTTAAAAGAAACTTGTCTTCCACAGAACTTCTTTTAAATTGTAGAAGTACATTGTAGAAGTAGGCATCATTATCATCAAAAAGGATGAATTTATACATAACATCTTACGCTTGTATTCCTTATGAGAATTCTTAATGAATACATTGTTAGTGAATAGGTGTTAGGGTTACTTGTGGAGTATGGGGCCAAATAAATACAGGATGTGCAGGATAAATCAAAATGTGGTAATTAGTTGAACTGAAAGATTCTACAAAATGAAAATTGTTGATGAAAAATTGCAGGTTTTTATCACAAAACCTGCAATAAATAATCACTCATTCTTCTTTCCTTTAATATTTAGGGCAGCTGCTTATATTTTCTAACATGGGTGATGCATGTCTAGACATTTAAAAGTCTGTATTTTTTCACCCTTTTCTCATATACCTTTTGGAAAGCATACTCCTTTTCTTATCAGAACAAAAAATGATGGTTGGTGTCACCACCACAGGAGTTCCCAAACTGGTAATGTTCCAGGAGCTGAACTGATTGGTACCTTGTTCCTTTGACGCAGTCCTACCCCTCAAAGCCATAGACCTCCTAGGCTCCAAGCCATGTCACCAGCCCTCCGTCTTGCTCTATTCATGATCAGTCCCCAGGCCTTCTTGCAACATGATGAGTCCCTGGCCTTCTCTGTTCCTACACAAATAGATCTTTTGTCAGTACACTTTAGGCAACAAAGCTGATAGGTACAGCTCAGATGCAGTATCTTGCCTTAAGTCAACCTCTTCCTTTCTCACTCCCTGGCCTGCCTTGGCATTTCTGTGTTCAGCCACAAGCCCTCTTACCTACTTTTTTTGACTTGTTTGGATTGCCTCTTTAGAACTGGATTGGAATTGCTTTCCTGGGTATGTATCTGCCATATTTCACAGATACCACTATCTACATTTTGAGTTGGTAGCATCTGCCCACACAGTAATGTTAGTTCTGTTCTGCTGTTCAGTCAGTAGAATGTAGGGATTGGGCCCACTTCTTCCAGAATAGAGCATTCCATGGTCAATATTTTAGACTCTGAATCTAAGCTGGAAAAAGATGCAGGGTTGGACTGCTTAGCTGAAATTTTATTCCAATGTATATATTTTAATTGTTATTGTTTTAATTTATTGTGTATTTTATTATGTTGTGAGCCGCCCCGAGGCTACGGCAAGGGGCGGCATAGAAATGTTTTAATAAATAAATAAATAAATAAATGCCAAGGTTAATGAGCTTCAAGATAGGCCAAGTGGCTAATGAGACCAGACTGCCTCTGGTTCAGTGGGAGAAACTGAAGAACAGAGAGGGCCACAGTGGAAAGGTGTTCCACAGTGTTCCTGCTATCTGGCTGACAAGCAGCATGTACCTCCCTGAGGGTGGAGTCAACTCCATTTGATGAGAAGAGAAGGTGGAGGATAACTTTGGAATCAACTCTTGCTATTGACAAGAACTAACTGCACAATTAGTTACTAACTCCAAAACTCATGCCTTTTGTTAACAACATTTATATATTTCTCTTTAGGGTAATATAAAGCCACCCCTGGCTTTCAGTTTTAATGTCATAAAGACTGTAGTTAGCAGCCTCTTGTTGTGATCTACTTGGAAAAGAAGAGAGATTGGAGGAGACAGATACTGGCCCATGACATAGAGAACCAGATTCTGCATAAGGTGCTGGGTTCTTCCAGCATGTGTCAGATAAGGTGTACTGCCATGCTTATCTTACATACTACACACTTATTTGATATAACCCTTAATGAACATTTCAGAATTAAAAATTCATGTCAGAAAAGCACAACAGTCAGAGACACTAAAGATAATAGTGGCTAGAGTTACAAGGCTTATAATTCTGTATTAGACAGTTGAGAATGCAGAATGTTGCAGTACACGGTGCTGTGGTTTACTGTGTTAGCCACCCAACCATGTTTTTTTTTTCAGGATATCCCATACCATTTATCCTCCCCACAGTTTGCTATGTCCCTCCCCACAGCAGGCAGCTGGCATTCCATACCCACAAAGCATGCTTCATTCTCTTTGGGTTGTTTTGGGCTTATTTATGTATTAGGTATTTATTATAGTTTTAAATCTATGCAATAATTAAAAAGTTATCTGGGTGGATTACAAATAGCTAAAAGAATACAATATAATACAGCAAACAACACAGATATAGATAAATATAAGGAGGTACAAACATTAAGCCATAACATCCAAGGGGATTTCACCTTTAGAGGTGTTTGTCTCCTAACACATTTTTTGGTACTTCTGCAAACGTTTGCATTTTCTTGAACCTGCCAGTACCACCTCTTTGTGAGTGGATGGTCCTGTTTTAGTTACTTAAATATCAGCACTTGCAGACTCCAATTCATTATTAGCATAGATGACGATAATGATGACAGTCTGAAAGAGATAAGATAGTGGATTGATAAAGGAACAGCATAAGTGGGACAGATACAGAATTGGAGATAAAGTGAGCCTGTGGATATTAAGGATTTTACTGAAGTAGTGGGTCTTGTGAAGAAGTCAGAAGAACAGTGATGATTTGGGAACAAAAAGAACAGTCTAAGCAGAGTAACAATTTTTAAAATTAATGTACGCTCTTTAAATACTACTTTAATTTTTATTTTATAAAACTGAGGAATAGACTATGTAACGTAACAACTAAAATAAAAAAAGCAAAATTAAGCATTTAGATGAAAACAATTTGCAGGAAATATTCAAACAGCCACAATAGTAACATAAAGTAAGTTCTTTTTTTGGGAAAGCAGCCAAAGATAGGCCTGAGTTAATCTTCTGTGGTGAGGATATTCCATTGTTGGGACAAAAAATTAGAAGACTCTGCTTCTAGTGGAACAGTAAAGAATTTAAACGGGGGCCAGTCTGGGAAATCTTGTAGCACTGGGCGTGAGTAGGATTTTCTCAGGACACATTCTAAGAGTCTTATCCTTTGGGAATTGGCCCCTCCCCTTCCATCCATGGGTAGGGCCAATGTGTTGCCATGTTCTTCTAGAGGAAAAGATAGCTCTGGCCTCCCAGGCTGCAGCTCATGAACCTGTGACAAAGATCAAGGGTACAGAACCCTTTGCAGCCCAAGGACTAAATTTCACTTGGGATAAAATTTTGGGAGCTTCATTCCAGTGATGGGCAGGACTGAACGCAAAATGGACAGCACCAGCACCCCCCCCACCCCAAACACACACGCACACACACACACACACACACACTGGTATAGTTTATCTTAATGCCCCTGGCTGTTTTAGGGAGGTATTTCAACCTTAAAGAATGGGGGGAAATGCACAAAAGCTGGAAAACCACAAACAGTATGTGCCTGGGGGAAAGGGGTAGGGAACACCAGGAATGCTGGATATGGCTCCTGGGTCTGATGTTTTGTACCTGTGATATAGATGCATGAAACATAAATGTGAAATACAAAGAACTCCATAGGATAAGGGTGCCCAAACGTTTTGCTCTGGAGGGCACCATCCAGTGTCAGATGCAAGGCAGTGGGGGTCACATGTGCACAGAGAATGCTCAAATGCACCAACATTCACAGACTCTCAACATGCACAAACTCTTTGCTCATATATACCCAGCCCTACCTGCGTGCCTCACACTCTTTCCCCCCCTCCCACGTGCATATGCATTCTCTCTCTGCACACTGAGACTTAAGAAAGCTAGGGCTTGGCAGTGTCTTTCACAATTGAGATCACTGTTGCTTTGTCACTTCCTATCATAGAAGCACACTTTCCATGACAACCCTGAAAGAAACTGAGCCTGATTTTTTTGGAAGAGATGCTGTAGCTTCTTAGCCATTGGCTAAGGGCTGCCTACAGAATATTCATCTTTGTACCCTGCTATAGGATAGTTGTCATGTGGTGGAACAAGGGTCTCTTAGCAACACCTTCTGGAAGTACACCATGGCAAGGATCAGTGCTAGTTGTGGGACCTATTAAGTTCTTGCTGAGGAATAGGTTCTCTACTCTGTTCCTGCTAACAATCTTGGGACTTGTTATTAAGATCCATATACCTGGATGGGAAAAAATAGTATTTTGTGTATCAAATGGAGGAATCATTACCTCCCCCATCCACGCCCCCCCCCCCAGTAAGTTTTTGCTTTTATTCTTGGGGAGAGAAGGAGGAGGTAGTGATAGCAGGTGTTCCATGGAACTTTTCAAGTTGACAAACTGAAAACAGTTCCAAAACGGAGGCACTGTATGTGTTTGATTGGAACATTCAAAACAACACAAAAGTATTTGGCACTTTTACAATGTTTCAGTAAAACATCTATAAAACATCACCTTTGGGTCATTCATTTGGACCACTTGCAAAGCCCCAATTATGCAGAGGCAGGTAGGAAGATGATTGGCAATCCCTTCCAAATCTACTATTTGAAAGTAGATCTTATCCTGAATAGATAATCCAAAAGGACAACATATTGGCTAGTATTGAAGGCTATTGAGGTGGGGGGAAACCAACTGGGTCACAGTCCCTTATCACTTTCTTAGCAGAAGTTACCTACCAGAATGATTGGAGTAGTTTCTGCCCTAGATCAAAATGGCAAAAATGAGAGAGGTGGATGAAATGAGGCATATTAGCTAAAAATAGGCTGAAAAGGGAGTGTAAGAAGGGCAATATGGGAGAGGAAATAATGGCACCACTAATCAATTTGCCCAAGCTGTTGATGTGAACAGGACTTAATCTTGTTTACCTAGTGGATTGTGGATTCCAGTCAGAAGGGATTGGTGGAGAATGCAAACTTAGTTATGCTCTATGGGTATAACACACAGATTACCTGTTGAAGCAAAACAGGTTTGGGTCTGGTCAGTGCCTGGATGGGAGATTTACTGTAGACTCCATGAACATTTCATTGAGTTTGATCCATCTTGCAAGAAAAGAGAGACTTAAGGGTAATAAAAATATGAAGTGACCCATTACTTTGATTTAAGCCAGCTCCCTACAACCTGGTATACTCCTTATGTCTTGCATTGCTAATTAGCTACCTGAGTCCCACAGAATGATATACATAATTATCAGTACTTTTGGGGACCAACCAAAAGTCCATACATTGTTCATTCAACAGTAACCAAAAAACAAAACAAAACAAAAACCCTGCATTGCACAATAATTTACATCTAGGCTAATGTTTAAAAAAAGACCCAACTTTATCTCTGTGCCTCACTTAACATTTGACTGATTTCATCTTTTGTTTCTGATCTGTTAAACATTCACAATTTTCTACATTTAAATACAGCTTTCAGATCACTTATATAAAATGGATTAAGTCTTTATAAAATAACCTCTTGCAATTGCAGTTACCTGTTAATACTTCGTAAATTTTAAACTTGTATAACTTACTTCTGGTATATGCTTTGTTCAGTGCTTTAGTATATAGAACTCTATCTAACCAACTGACCTTCATTTTTCACCCAGAATACCCTAAGTCAGTCATGTGTTTACTGGTCACTACTGTCCTTCCTTAACTGCAAGGATTAATTTCCATAATTATGTCAGCAGGTGTCATTCAGAGATTATTCCAACCTATAAATCAGCCATCCTATTTTGATCACTTGGGCTAACTTCCACACTCAAATCAGTAGTTTCTAAACAAATGTTTCTTGAGGATATTTCAACAGAATAAATTTACCTTCCCCCACTTTTTTTTGGGGGGGGGGAGGGAGCATATCTATTCACTAATGTATATGGCAGGATTTTGCTGATTAAACCTTCAATCTGAAATAAGCATAATGTTCTTTCACTAGGACATTATGCTTATTATGTGCTGTCCAAGGCAAGTGGCATGTCCCTAAATATGTGTGTAATTTCCGATCATATTCTTATGTGATTTACATGTTTTTGTTTAGGTCTGCAGACCATTCCAATCCTCATGGAATGGACTTGTTATACCTCATATGGCAAACACTGTGGCTTAGGTTCTAGGGAAGGAAGATCTTCACAAATTCCCCCTCTCAATTTTCATAAATCTGCCCCCCCTTCACCTTATCCCACACCATTTGTAAAAGTCCTCCAATCCCACAGTGTTTTTGGCAGCATAAGATCTGTAAAGGGGAAGAGGATGTGGGGAATCCCTTTTCCATGAACATGAACCCTATTTATGGAAAATAAGTTAAAATCTAGGTAAATATTTTTTAAAACTATATTTTCAGACATAGCAATTTCAGAAATATGTAGAAACTATTGTATCAGATACTTTTTTCATTTATTTTGCCAGGGGATGTTTTATTTTTTAAATATTTATAGTCCTAGCCTGCATTTTGTCTACTCAAGGCACTCAGGGTGGCTTACATAATTCTTATCCCCCTTGCAGTCTTATCCTTATAAGAACCCTGTGAGGTAGGTTAGGCCGAGAGTGAGTAACTGGTCCAAAATCATCCAGTGAGTTTAGTGGCCAAATGGGGACTACAACCTGGATCTCTCAAAACCTGGTGCAACATTCTAACCACTATACTACATTGGTTCTGAAAGGTAAAAAAGCTATATTTGGACACTCCTTTGGGTGGGTAGACATGTATTTGTGTAAAAACACAGAGATGTATACATGTGTAACCATGTAGAAAAGCCCATTTTGCTCAGGCAGGTATGTACACAGGTGTGCTTATATATGCCTACAATAGCCCCATTATTGTGAAAAAATGATAAATTCACAACTAGCTTTTAAATATTCTGCCAGGTTTTTGTTTAATTCATTTTCTTCTATCTCCTCCTCCTACCACCAGGAGTTCCATATGATGAAGGCAAGTCATGTTTGAAATTTGTACAAATTATATAAATTATTTGGATGTTATTGGTGGCACCTTCTGTTCAAAGACGAAGTACACAATTCAGCCTTGCAAATTAACCCATAAAAGTTTCTAGCCTACAAATCTATTATTGGCTGGCTGTTACTGGTAAAGGAAAGACAACTCCCTACAGCAATCTGCTAGGTTTGCCTTGGACACAGAGGAGGGGATTCCCTCACTTTGGCAGTCTGCTTGATTCTGTACTGGGTTTAGAAGAGACCCAAGTACTCCATGTCTTGTAAACCGTCCCGAGAAGTCTGTGAGGGGATGGCATAGAAAAGCTTTAAATAAATAAATTACTCCTGTGGCAACTCTTGTGCTCATCGGCAAGCACCTCTTTCCAATGTGTGGCTTCTAGCCTAGTGCTTAAGTACAAGATGGACATATTGGCATATCTGATATAAACATAAGAGCTGTGCTGGATCAGATCAAAGGTCTATCTACTCCAGCATTGTGTTCCCATGGTGGCTAACCAGATGCCTACTGGAAGCCCCCTAGCTAATGGAGTAGAATTCTCTTACTGGTGTTCCTCAGTAATTGGAACTGACTAGAACACTGCATGTGGTTTAAAAGTTGCTTCTTTAATAAATTGGTCTGTACACAAGTATTTACTTATTTTTCAGGAAACATGCCAGATTAGAGCCCAAGTTGTTACTGCTTTGAATTGATGCCTCTGCTTTGCCCTGAACTTGATCCATGAAATTGGGCAAGCTGAAATGCTTAGACAATCTGTTCAAATATATAATGTAGTGATAATTGTGTTGAGCCTGTGGGCATGAGAATGAGTGAATTCTCATAGAAACATTCTCTATTATATTTCATCCTATAGTATCATAGCAAATTGTCCACACAGAGGTATTCTCTGTTCAATTACTGGCAAAAGAGAACTGGAGAAAATTACTAGCACCTGTAGAAAGTTTGTTAGAAATGTTTCTGGAACAGTTGTACATGCACATTTTTGCAGACTGATTATTAAATAAATAAAGACGGGTTTTAAATGAGACTATTAGCCCTATTAAGATGGAATATTACAAAGAACTGCCTGTAAGTTCTGATTTTAAAGGAGCATTGTATACCGAACTGCAGATGCATGTTGTCAGAATTTATAAACATGTTCATTATCAGTTTCCTTTTATTTTATCCTAGTAGTTGTCTCATTCTAATTAAAAAATAAAAATCTTCTACAGAAAGCTATTAGGCCACTGAGAATTGAACGTTAGGGCATGTGTTGTGTATTAGAATACTGTAGGTAATTTTACTGCTGCTAACTTAAAATCCTCAAGGGGGAGTTAATTACAGGAAAACCTTTCTAAATATCAGCTGCATATTTTCCATGACAAGAGGTTTTTCAGCTCTCATTGAATAATTCCAGAACCAGAGTTTTGTTTGGTTATATCCACTGGTACATTTGAAAGGATGAGGAAAAGAAAAGACGAACTCTTCCCTTTTGCCCAGTGCTGTTCCTTGTTAAACAGACATAAATTGAAAAAAGTTTCTTAGTTTGGGGAAATTGTGCGAGATAATAAAATGGATTTTTCAAACTGCAAATTGAACATCATTTTAAAAAATGAAGATGTAGAATCCAAATTCTGATTTTGTCTGTTGTGCTAATGTTAATAGTTTTATGTGAAATTTATGTTCACATGTTTACGGACACAATTAAGCTTTATGTATGGCCACTAGGGATTGCCTTCCTCTGTAAATGTTTGCAGATTAAAGGTTTTTAAAAATAAGCCCCTGGAACCTCCAGCCGTGTATGGCAGTAATCAAAAAGTAATGAGCAATGTGTTGAAGCTGGTTGGCTAGGATGTGTTTGGCATATGTTTCCAAATGGAGACCTAGTTCAGTATATTGTTTCTTTCTGTAACACTACCAAAGATTATGCAAAGGTTTTCAACTCTTTCTCAGTATTAAAAACTGAATACATTTCCTGTGCTTTGCAGCTGCAACATGGATAGAAATAGTGAGATAAGTAGTCAATTGCTGCCTCCTATCTGCTTCCTGTTGTCACTTTTACATAGAAAGAAAATGTATTTAAACATAGAACAGTTGCAAAGTTTTGAGCAGGAGTGTGTATGTGCGCTCACACGCTTTTTCTTAAAATAAACACCTGATACATTTGTTTCAAGTAGAAACAAAATTAGCTCATGGATTTCCTTTAACCAAGTGAATATTTACTGTTACAACCATTGGTTACAACAACCACACAATCATACACAAGTATAGTAAAAGCATATAAAACTGTTCATATGCAGTAAAACACAATTATAGTTTTTCATTGAGAGTGGGAAATTCAGTTGCTAAAAGAGCAACATCACTGTGCTCAATAACACTGCTTTGTTGTGAGATGTAAACAAATTTTTCTTCAAATCACACCAAGCAGTTTTCCTAATACAGACAGGATCTAAAAACTTTATATGCATTGTAGAGAAAATAGGGCAGCAATGCAAATAATAAGGAAAAATTTCCATGGCTCCACAGCCACATGGGCATAATCTAGAATCATAAGGTATCTTATTAAAACCACCTTCTAGGACAGCTGTTAACATCTGTTGCATTCTGTGTTTGGTTAGACATTTCTGATGGTAGGGTTAGAGATAAACTTTGGAGAGCTGTAATAGTCAAATTTAAGTTTAAACCTTGCATACCAAGGGAGCCTGCTTGTTATGTGCAGTAACACAGAGGTCAGATTGAATGGAAACGCTAAAGAACCATTCTCCAAAATTCCTACTATGAGTAAAATTCAGAATAGAAAAATACTCCCATTTGCTGCACAAAAAAAAAAATGAGTAAATAGAGGTTTGGAAGAAAGAGTATTTAAGCCAATAATTCAGAATTCTGATGATATAATAGATGTTATTGCTATTACACCTTTATTATTCTGCTCCCCCTTGAGACACCAAGGGTCATTTTCAACAATTTATTTTGGAATAACTCTATATCCAGAAGCATTTTCATATCCCAAAACTACCTCCTATAGGAGACATGTGATGACAGTTTTTCATTCAATAGATTCAAGATGGGCTGAATGTTGTGCTGCTTGTACACCAGAAGGCCCATATTCCATTTGGGATGCTATCCTGTGGCCTCTAGATGCTGGCTAGATGGCCATGAGAAAATTCAAAGACTGACCATGAAAAGGCACTCAGTGGTTAGAACTGGAGGTCCATGATTGGAACACCCTTTCTCTACCATACCCAGTACAGTTCTTTCTGTGCCAGTGCATCATGGGCATTCCCAGGAGAGACAAGGAACAGGCTAAGTAAGTGTTTTGGAAGGCAAGGGAAGTGTAGAGGCAATCCTTACTTCCCTCTTCTCTTGCCCTCCATTGGATTCCTAAATTTTTCCAAGTATGGAGGATTTTGGGAAGCCACATGTGACAACCCTCTTTCTTGGTGATCTGTCTTGGCTTACAGAGACTTAAGTGTGCTGCCCTGCCAGCAGTTAATGAAAATAATAAACCCAAATATAGAAGTGTGTATACTCTTTCTACAGATCGAGCATTAATTCTCCACTTGTGTTTCTGGGTGCTACATCCAAAAACTACAGCCTTCATCTTCCTGTAGTTGATGAACAATAAATGTTTTTGGGGATAGTTAGTAAATACTGACAATAATCTATGCAGGCCAGCCTGCGTACAGCAAATGAGAATCAGATCATCAACACAGATGAAAAAAGGAGAGTTTTCTTTTGCACAGTTTCAAAAGAATAAAATAGAGACACCCCTCATATCTAAGGCAATATCATTGAAAGATTGAAATTGAGTGCAGCTGAGACAGATCCTTGTTTAACGCCACCAGTTGCTGAGGTATTAGGGTTAGGGAGGAAGATCTCGCCTGAATATTGACTTTTCTTGTAAGAGTTGTTGTAATAATAATCATAATCATCATAATATCATCATCATCAGAAAACTCTGTCTCTTAGCATTGCCCATAACTGGTATCTGTCTACTGAATCAAAGACTGTTCAAAAATTGACTAATGCCATGTAGAATTTGAATTCCAGTTATGTCAAAGGTTTATTGTTCAAATGATCTAATATGAAACAGAGGTTTAATGTTGAATAGTCTGCTTGAAACCTGACTTACTCCTCATTCAGAATATCATTTTGCTGACCCATTTGTCTAATTTATTTACAGAGAACTAGCATATACCTTCGCTACAACATCAGTTAGAATAACTGGTATACAGTTTGATGACAATTTACAATTCCCTCTCTTGAAGATTGGAATTATAGTACTTGTATTCCAGCTCTCAGGGAAATCCCAAGTCTGGTTGATAGAGTCCAACAATTGGGCCAGGATGGGTACCCACCATTTGATGTTATGTTTAAATGGCTCTACTGGAACATGATCTTCTGGTGCTTCCTTATTAGGCAGTGAATTTATTAGCACCTCTATTTCTTTGAAAGACACAGGGGGTTTTTGATTTGTAGTACTGAGTACTAGTATCAGAACTAGTCCATTTGTTCTAAACAGACACAAAATGGGCTTGGGTATTTTATAGAGAGTTATATTTATTGTTACATTTGCATTGCTGTCATGTATTGTTGCTTAGAAAGTGTTGGATAAATTGCGGATTGTTCTGGAGTAAAGTTCTAATTTTTTTGGAGGCACTGAAATTTTGTAAATTTGCCTGGTAGTGAGAAGAGCATCATAATTTTCCCCATATTTACACAAAAGTCCTGTTAAATTGAGTTGGGCCTCCTACTCAGTGAGTGTGCTTCGGATTGTATCTGTGCAACTTAGACTCATTCATGTTCTGTTGAAAGTAAATTCACCCAGTTCCATAAATTTAGTGTTCCCGCCATCCTTGTTAACTAGTGTAAGCATGCCACATTAGTTTGTGTGCATCCTGCATCTTTTGAAGACAGATGTAAGGCCTTGTGGCAGGCTCAGTGATTTTTTGTTCTGAAGTATGTTGGTGCTGGTGCTACCCCCTAATAAAAGAGGGTGCTGTGTGAAGGAAGAGATTGCTTTTTCCCCTTTTGAGACATTTATGCCAAAATACTGTCAGCTATGTAGTCAAGGGACGCCCACTTAACGGTGCAATGGAAAATTACCAGCTGAACTGTTATGGAGCCCAAGCGGACATGCTTGCCTGCTGAAAGGCTGAAGTCCTAGGCATGCTTGATCGGAGCGTACCTTTCAGTGAACTCAGCAGTGCTACTTCCGAGTAAACCAACAGAGAGCCAGGCTGTACACATCACGGGTTTCACTTTGCAGCAGTCTAGCACGTTCTGCGCTGAGTCGTTGACAATTTCAGTAAAGCGAGCGGCGGTCGCCTATAGCACTGGCCCCGATTTAAAAAGAAGAAGAAAAAAGAAAAGCTCCCCTGTGCTGCTGAGCAGGCGTGAGCCCTTACAATTCTCGTCGGTTTTAAATGGCGATAAAGCCAACTGCTTTGACTTTCTGTCGCGTAGGTATGCCCCATTAAAAGAACTGTTAGGCGCGCAATCGTGTGCCTGCTGAAAGAGGAAAAAGCGTGGCTGGTTGGGGAAGGGGGAGGGCTTTTTCCTGGCTCGGGACTGGGCCCCAAGTTACCGTCCCGTTTGTTACACGGTTCATGTGACACTGACGCCCACGCACGGAGCCTCCACGAGATTCGCTTTCTCCCTAGCGTACGTTCCAGAAGAAAGCGAGTCTTTTCCACGATTAGCTAGATAATTTTGGACAGGATGACTCAGTGGCTCCTTTTTTTCCATTCTACCCTTAGTGCGTCCCAGTGAAAGAGATTCTGTCCTACGGCTGGCTAGGCGAATACCTGCGGCATCCTTCCATATTTGGCTTGCTTGTTGCGCACCTGATGCAGGTGCGAATTTCCGATGCTTGAAAAGGAGCCAGGGCGAATAAGAGAGTGGGGGCTAGGGACAGAATAAAGCTTCGCCGGACGACCGGGTCCCGGGCTAATCCCGGCACTGGCGTGAAGCAAAGGACTCTAGAAGCCTTGGAGCTTCTAGAGCTTCTAGAACAGCCCCCGATAATTCGGAGTACTTTGTCTTAAACCGACTTCTAAGCTTGGAGACTAGTCGTTCTCCTGGGTCCTATGCTCAGAGTGCTCCGGAGAGATTGTTGTTGTAATACTTCGCAAAGGAACCGAGACCCAATAGCGTGCCCCCGCCGCCGTTTTAACAGCGCCATCCTACTCTCATTTACGCCGAAGGAAGGCCTGTTGTGTTCAGTGGGCTTACATCTGGGTAAGTCTGTTCAGGATTGCAGCCGTCGAGCGCAGTCATGATCCTTACTCAGAAGCAAGTGTTCTACGCAGTATTGCAGCCTCCGTGCGAGACCGGCTGGTGTGCGGATCAGGCCCGCCCGTCTGGCCACAGCTTGCAGGAACCGCGTGTTGCCTGCGGCGGCGAAGAGAGAGACCCAGGGCGGAGAAGCTGCCAGCAGTAGCTGGTCTTGGCCGGCTGTCGAGGGCTCAGCTGGGGACACAGCTCGGCCGGAGTCAGCCGACAAAGCGATCTCCTGGGGCTGCGAGCGCGAGAGACCAGCCGAGGGAAGGCTGTCGGGGAGCCGGCAGCCGGTGGGGACGGCCGCCTCTCCTGACGCCTCTGCCCGCCCGGGAGGCAGCGCTCCAAGGGAGGCTTCGTGCCCAGCGTGTCTGCGCAGGTCGTGGCGGCGATTGTTTGTCCAAGGCTCTGTGCAGTGGCCGCCTTCCACTGAGGTCTGGCTGGAGCCCCTTGCATCAGAGTTGGCCGACCAGTGGCACCCGGCACCCGTGGTGTTTGAGGTTTCGAGACCGAATGCCCTTTGGGGCGAATCTAGGCTTGGCCGTGCTTTAGTTAGAGCCATTGAACGCTTGACGAATTTAAGGGACATAGACGCGGCCTTTTTGCTCCAAGGAGCTGGGCACGAGTTTCCTGTCACTGATTTCCACGGAGTCTACCCTGAGCATGGCCACGTCTGACTAACTCTTTAAGGGTTCAATCCTATGCATGTTTAGACGGGAAAAAGTCCCACAACTCCCAGCATTCCCCAGCTAGTTTAGCTGGGAGATGTGGAACTTTTTCTATCTTATGTGTGGATAGGATTGTGCTCACTGGAGCAGCTGCAGTGCTGGATTTAACAACAATGACTTGCTCACCTGCTTTGTGAATCACTACATCTCTTCCTTCATGAGGATGACAGATCCTGTGTGTATTAGTTTCTGTGCATGCTTCCATGGAAGTAACCCCCACTGAATCTTTGGGGCCTTACTTCCATGTGAGAAGCCTTGGCCATTGAAACACACCTAATGGATTTCTGCTGTTGTTCCCAGGTGAACATATATATGGTGTGCAGCCCTAAACTCCCCAATTTCTGCTTAGTCATTTGCTTTCAGGTCCTTTTTGGGAGTGGGGGTTGAGGAGCCATGATGATTTTGTTCTAAAAATGACTGGATGCTGTTTGGCATTTTAAATATTCAATAGCATTTTGCAGTGCTAAATGGCAGACTTATAGTCCTGTCTAGTTTATGTGCTAGTGTCAGTTCTGTTGCCTACTCACACCTAACCTGCAATGGTTAAAACCAACTGGCTTGCAAATGGATCTATGCCCAGCTGAATTCCCCCCCCCCTTTTCCTTTTTTTCAATCTTCAGTATGTGTAAAAAGCAAAGTTATTTCTCCTCTCCTCCCTCCCTCCACCGTAACTGTTGCCTCCAAGAGTTGATGGACAGCCGCATTTCTCTTTCATTTCAGCTCCAGATGAAGATGTACTTGTTAAAGGAAAGCAGTCTATCAAGAGTCAGGCTTTAGGAAATCAGAACTCAGAGAGTGAGATTCTCCTGGAAGGCGACGATGATACCTTGTCATCCATTGAGGAGAAGGAACTGGAGAACTTAACTGGTAACTTCAGCTGTCTATTACATCCCCTTGATGAGGTCTGCTTACTACTGGTTTAGTTCCCCCTTGGCAGGACTTTTTTGGCATTCGGGGGAAAGACAACGATGGACAATTCTTTCCCATCATTGTGTTAAAGAAGATAATTTTCTGACCATGGAAAATTACCATTCGATAACTTGTGATCAAAATGACTGGGAGTAGTTTGATTAATGCAATGCGAAATCATTCCTCATGTTCTAATATTCTGAGATTGGGAGACAGTCTAAGTAACACAACTGCAAAGGCTGTTTATAAATCTGTGAAAAAGTAAAACACCTTTGTATGAAACACAGTCATTCAATAAAAGGGGTAATATTCTTAAATTATTTAGTCTACTGGCTTCCATTTTGTTGCAGGCCAAATCTGCATTTCCTGCCTTTTTGTTGTTAATGTTGTTGATTGAAAAAGAGATTATATTTTATGATGGTAGATTTGTTCCATTTGTAATAAAACTGGAAGCCAAACAAGCTGTTCTGCTTTGAAGTTTTATATACCAATCCCCTATTCTGTGGGCTAGAGTTGCAGATCTTGCCACCACTTCTGCTCTAATTGCATAACACTCTGGGACCATATGTATCCCATAATGATCACTCCCAAAACAAGAGTATTCCTTCTTGTTTAATTTATGTGTTTCTGAATGCATCGGGGGGAAAATCTTTAATTTATGCAAAGAAATCCAAAATCCTTATTTATTGCAGTTCATTAGCTACTTTACATTCTGTATGGCACAATCGCATAATAAAACTGAACAGGAAAATACAGGCTAAGGTCCAAAAAATATGCCAACTGGTAAAATAGCAACTTAATTTAGGGAGACTGTTACTGAAACTGCTCTCCAACAGACCTGCAAGAGCCTCCAATCCATGTCGTTTCTCCTTTCCTTCTACATTTGTTGCTTCTGCTAATACATTCATACTGTAATAGAGGTGAAGGGGGAGTTTAATTATATAATCTTGACAATGGCAATAGGATTAAGAAGTAATCCTTGCTAATAAAGTAGTGTGGGTTAGAAATGAAGTTGAAATTGTCAGGGGTTTTCAACGGGACCTGAGCTGCCCCAGCTCCTGCAGCTGTCTGGTTGCCCTATAATTGAATGTCTGAAAGTGATTGAAAAAATGTTATTTCTTCCCTGGATTACATGCTAATGTACAGAGGGCAAGGGGAGACAGCAAAAGAACACATAGCTGCTTATTTCATCCATTTGTGGGAATGAGCTTTGGGAAATCATGGCAGTAGTGCAGCTATTGGATGCCCATCTGCAAACACAATGTGCTTGTACACTGGGAATAGAGGGCAAAGCTGCTCTGATCTCAGCAGAGTATCTCTTCTATTGTCCTACTGGCACACATTGAGATTGATGCAAGATTAAAGACCATCACACTTCCTAACAATTGACAGAAATGACAATTCATCTGAATTTTTTTGGCAGTTATTCACCCATTGATTACCTAAGTGTGTGCACCTCATTTATACACACTTTATTAATGCAAAAGGGTGTGTGTCACGTATGCAGTTTACAGTATTTTTTAAACAAAGGCCTACCGCTGATAAACATGCTCTTTGTTACTCTCAGTGTTCCCTGCTTTTTAATCAGTTGGATGACAAATATAACCCACTTTCATTCTCTGGATGTTGTTTTATATAATGGCCTGCATATTGTTAGATCTGTGCCCAGCCTATTGTTTTGAGTACTACACTGATCTGTCTCTGTGATAAGCCCTGTGGAGATGTGATTATTTCAATAAAAATTCATTCAGTTGGAAACCAATGCTCCAGCTGTTTACTCCCACAGTCCCCGAGCTGCACTAACACTGCATGGATTCCTTGAAAAATATTTAACAGGAGGATTGAACCCACTTTTCAAATAAGATACTACTCAGTTTCTAGCAGTGGGTAATACTTAACTTTTCAATGCACAATAGTCCTTTGCCATGCAGAAAAATAAAAACATTTATATGGAATTCTTAGACAGCTTTCTAAATAGGCTAATAATCAAGAAATCTGGGTCAAATTGCATCTCTGTGCACATGTGAAACTAATATTTCCCATCTGACCTTCCTTTTTTGCATTTGCTTTATTGTTTAGAACATAAGGTATTCAGTTGTAAAGCCTTTCAAAACTATAGAAGACGATCTAAGAGCCACCTAGACGGGCATATATAATCATTTGCATTGCTTGCAGCTGTAGTTGTTCAATGCAGAAGTGCAGCAAATGCATTGCATGTGCACTTTGGGAGTTTATAAGAATTTGATTTGTCTTTTTTGAATAGAATTTGTACAGCCAGTCTTTTTTGTACTAACAGAATGGATTAATATAAGTTAATAAAAGAAGTTACATGGACTCATATTTGGGCAACATTTTGTGCTTGCTGTTCAGACCATTCAAAAGAAAATGTATGTTTTCCCTTCCTTTTGGTAGGTCCAGTTAATCTGTCCACACCAGCTCATCTTGTGGCTCCGTGTGTAGTAGTGAAGGGTACACTTTTCATCACCACCTCTGAACTATATTTTGAGGTAGATGAAGAAGAAGCCAGTTTTAAGAAAATTGACCCCAAGGTAAGAGATCATTGACCGTTTCCCCACCCTGCACTAAACCCAGTGACAAATTACAAGAAGCCTCTGATTTTTCATCTAGACTGTTAGATGTATGTTTTCCTGTATCGGTGAGATAATAATTTATGGAACTTTTATACTAGTGACATCATTATGGATACAAAAAATAATTCATCCTTGTTCTACTGGTAATTGTCTTATAGGGCCACTTTAAAGCAAGAGGATGTGTGAATGCTAAATTTAGCAATGCTGTCTGATGAAACCTATAATTTACCTTGCCGTTTTACTTCTTGATGCTTGCTTGCTTGTTTGCTTATGTATTTATTTTTGAATTGTTGTATAATAAATAGGGTACTGTTAGTGCTCTATTAATTTCTTAGAATTGCTTTTTATTACCTTGCAGTGAATTTATTACAATTCTGTACATAATTTTCTCTTGATACAATATATATTAACAGGTCAGTTTGTGTTGCATTATGAGGGCACATTACATTTAATTCCTCTCCACCAAATGATATTGTTGCTCACAGTATAAATTGATTACTATACAAAGATTGCACTTGAGCATTTTCCATAAAACTAAAATGTGATTACTAAATGAGCAGTTTTCCTTAGATGTGTTTTATTATAGAAAGGGGTGTCTGCTTCTGAAATGTTCTAGAAGGGTTAATTGCTACAATAGTGCTTTCTTGAATGGGAAGGAACACAAAACTGCAAGCTGTAATATAGCATGCATAATATTTCTGAATACAGGTATTATTTCTTGTATCTCCTTTTATCATTCTTCTTGAATAAAGATTGCATGAAATATTAATAGATAATGTCTCTAAGAAGTGAGAATTTTGATAGGTTTCCACATTAAACAGATTAAAAAGCCTTTTAATCTAGTATAATAGTAGCTAGTTAAAACCCTGGAGTTGTTAAAAATGAAGTAAGTGTGCATATTAAATTTTGCATATCACATTTGTTTTGGGATGAGTTAATATTAAAAGTAAAATACAGCAATGAATAAGGATATGATGTACTTATCATATACTGTCCATACCTTAGTTCATTATAGCATTAAAAATTTCAGAAAATGGCTGTTTGGACCATCATACAGGGGTTCTGTATTACTTTCCAAATTCTTTGAAAAATGCAATTATTCTTTTCCTATTTTAAAAACAAGCATGAACACCCATCTCAGACTGAATGTAATTCAAACTTTGATGAAGCAATATGGGGCACAGAAAAGCAGCCAGCTATATCAATTTAATCTGGAAGATCAGAAATATTTTGAGAGAGCACTAAACTCCAAGCTTTGATTTCCTTTGTGAAAACTGTTTAAACCTCTGCTTTTGAGGCTATGAAATCATGCATTGTTTTCTTAAAAGTCCTGACAGTATCCTATGTACTTTTCCCTTCTCTGTTCAGCCACCTTGTACCCACTTTCCCCTTCCCATAAGATATGGGCAACTTGAGCTTGGGTAGTAACATCTTCCCTTCCAATCCCAATCCTGCATTTGCTCAGATGCCCATTCAATTAATGGGGCTTTCCCAGTGTGATAAATTCAGCTTCTCTGTGTGTTTTTCTAAGCTCCTGGGAAAGAAAACATTGTGACAGGATTTTTGAAGTAAAACTGATGTTAGGCATAGCATCTTTGCTGATAACATCAAAGTTTATATTCCTGCTGCAAGACTGTTCTTAACAAGGAAGCTGTAGTCCTGTGAGCTCAGAGTTAATCCTCAAGTGGCAGGGCTGGGATGGGGGAGATTCTTGGTTCATGTTTAGCTACTTTCATATACGAAAGTGAACTCCCTTCAATGTAAAGACAGAAACACCAGAGGAAGCTATTGTGGTGCATTTATTTGTAGCTTGAAAAAAAATTAATAGCCTTAGTGATAAGTGATGCCTTCCAAAATTTAACAGTAATTTTTCAGGTTTAGTGTGTGTGTTCCTGCAAATTAACAGGTTGTACCAGAGTTTTACAAATACACTTCCCTAAGGATCTATCTAAATAAAAGTAAACAAGAAAACTCACAGACTACTTAAGGCTATCAGGGCTTACCTGGAAGTAAACCCAACTGAAGTTACTGGCACTTGCTGCTGAATAAACATGCATATAAGCATGCTGAATTAATAGAAAACTAATTGAAACCATCTCCAACTGTAAATAATGTGCTTTTCTTAACACCACAGATCTATTTGCTCAGACTTTGAAAATTAAAACCTGTTTAATTAAAACTTGAAACAATGTATAACTTTTTACAATAAGATAAGCAAGTTCAAATAGTTTGAAAATCCCTAAATGCAGTTTATATTAATATGAAAGGTATGGTTGTTGACTTGGGAAGACTATTGCAACAAAAACCCAGTTGGTCTAGATCACTTTTGTATTTAGTTCAATGCTCTGTCAGCCTGGGGCACGTTATGTTTAAAACCCAGAGAAAGCTAATGTTTGCAGAAAATAAATGGACTAGCTGTAGGATATTAATTATTCAAAGTAAATCCATACAGCCTTGAAATTCAGAGTTAAACTGGACTCTTTTTACCCATGCTTTTGTCAATGACAAATCCATGTACATGGAGAGGAACAAATGAAGAGAGAGAAGTTTTAGACCCCTTCCTGCTCTCAGTGAAAATGCAGTCCAAAGTCTAACCAAATAGCTACTTCTGGGAGAATTTTGCAGTTGTTGTTTCAAAGCATAAATGCTTCTCTCCTGCTTCCCCATAGTTTAATGTTCTGTTTAATAGCAAACAGAAATATTCAAACGATGTTAGCCTTTTTTTTTATGAGGGGGGATCCTGCTATGAAGCAGTTGTCCCCCATTTTAATGTACGCATATATGAGATTATTTCCTTGCTGACATCATCGTATCTGCATTGCCTGATTGTTAGAAAAACTCCACACGAAGGCAATGTAAAGTTAAAATCGTTTTTATTATTATTATGTTATTATTACTGATTTCAACAAGTCCGTTTGGGGAAAGGGTGGGGAATGGAGGGGAGGGGGAGAGCACATCATCTGTCCTTGGCACTCAAATACATTTAACATCAGTAAACTTTTGCAGTTCTGGCTTTTTGTTGTTGGGAGTGTCCCCCGCCCCTTTTCTTTCTTTCTTTCTTTCTTTCTTTCTTTCTTTCTTTCTTTCTTTTAAAAAGACATTTGTACGTATAATTAAATAATTTTGTTTTTCACTTGGTGACAACATTCAGGCAAACGAGAGAGAGGGGAGGGAGGGAGGGAGGGAGGGAGAGGGAAACGAATGACTTAACATTTAATATTGGAGAGAGGACGAGGTGGGAGAGAGGAATGACATGTACCTCGGGTTTCGTTGGGCAGTCGCAAAGTCCCGTCGCTGATTTTAGTGTCCTCCTTGTCAAGGTTAGCCAAAGGCGAAAGAAAGAGAGGCGCTGCCCGCTGCTGGGCTTTGTGTCTGGCGGGGAGGGGCGCCGCCCCCTCCCCTCCCTTCCTTCCTTTCCTTCCCTCTCCTGCTCCTTCTCCCTCCGCTTTTCCCTCCGTGCGCTTAAATACGAGTTCTGGTTGCGCGCAGCCTGCCGGCTCCGCCGCACGCGCGCGCGCGCGCGCGCGGGGGGGGCGCCGCTCCTATAGCTTGTCGAGGCTTTTGGGGTTGGTGAGGATCTCCCTGGCCAGGCGCCAGGTCTGCTTGGCGGCGCTCTCGAGGGCCGAGTGGGGCTTGCCCTGAAAGAGGTCGAGGTTGGGCAGGAAGTAGTGCGGGCAGCGGCGGCACTGCAGGCACGAGATGAGCTGCAGCAGGATGCCGTTGAGGCGGTCGCCCAGGCACGCCTCGTCCCAGTCGGTCTCCCGCGGGTGCTTCTCGCACTCGTAGAGCAGCAGCGTCTTCATGTGGTAGTTGTTGAGCGGCTGGCCGGGCAGCTCGAGGTGCCGGTCGCGCAGCGTCTTGAGCACCGACAGGCACTTGTTGCGGCAGCCGCCCAGCAGCAGGCGGTTCTCGGCCTCGCCGAACTGCAGCACCCATGCGTCGCTCTCCGCTGAGCTCTGCTTGCCCGTCAGCGAGTAGCACTCCTTGGAGAGCAGGTTGAAGCCCTCGGCCTTGACCTCGGCCACGCGGTTGGGCCCGGGCCATGGGATGTGCGGCAGCGGCCACTGCGCCGCGCTGCGCGGCCAGATGCCCGTGCACTTGAAGGCGGGCGTGATCTGCACCACGTAGCGCTCGCGGATGCGCAGCTTGACCTCGCTGGTGTCGGCGATCATCTTGACCACGTCGCGGTAGCTGCACTTGTCCACCGCCTGGGCCACCAGCGTCTGGAAGCGCGAGCGGATCTTGCGCGCCGACAGGTAGCCCGAGGCCGTGATGAACTCCACCCAGAGCGACATGCTGCGCTTGCGGCCGTCGCTCAGCTTGAGCACGGCGCAGCCCGGCAGCGAGCCGTCGTCGACGAAGTTGAAGACGCCCATCTGGTTGAGGTAGAGCACCACCTCGAACTCGGTGGGCGAGATGACCTCCAGCCCTTCGTAGCGCGCGTCGATCTCGCTCAGCGAGCTGATGAAGCGCGGCTCCTGCACCTCCACCTCCTTCAGCACGTCCGACACCACCTTGCAGACCTCGCGTATGGTCTTGGCGATGGCCGCCTTGCGCGCCTGGCACCGCTCCGTGTAGTACTTGTTCAGCTGGTACACCAGCTTGGCCTGCGCCGCGATCATGTTGGGGCACACGTCCGGGCTGTACACCGGGCTCTCGCAGTACGTTGACGGATCCAACGCCGCAGCCGCCGCCTCCGCGCGCGCGGGCAGATGCCGAGCCCGCTCCGCTCGATCACCACCACGGGGACGACGACGACGACAGCTGCGACGGCGGCACCGGCACCGCGAGAAGCCCGCACCACCACCACCGCCACCACCCCGGGCCAAGCGGCGCAGGGGCGGCCGCGGCAATGGCAGCAGCGAGCGACTTCCTCCCGCTGTAAAGTTTTGCGGGCTTTGTTTGGGTTTTTACATCGGAGCTGCGCGCGAATACCACCCCGCTCCGGCTCCGAGTGATCTTCAGTCCGTCATTGGGAAACTTCTTCCTTCCTTCCTACTGGTAGAACTTGGCTTTCAGTTACGAAAAGCGATCCGCGACCAAGTTAAAAAAAAAAAGCTGCACGGAGGAGGTAGACGGCACGGTCGATGCCAAGAAGACGAAGAGCCCGCTTCGCTTCCCCTTTTCTCCTTCAGGCTGTGGTACCGCCGGGGGACATGCGAGGGCTTCTTGGCTGCCTTCCCCTCCGTCGGGAGCTTGCCTTGATTTTCTTCTGGAGGCCTTGGCTGAAGAACCCAACTGGAGTGAATGCCTCTTGCAGTTGCGCCCCCCTGCTTTTCCTAGTATTACTGTTACTATTGCTATGAGTGTTAAGCATAACCGGATGCAATCGATCTGTGACCATTCATTTCTTCCCTTTGTTGAAATTTGGTTACAGGTAAATCATTCTTTGTCCTGCATACATTCTCAGAAGGCAGCAGGAAGGTTGTGTGTGCGTGTGCGTGTGTGTGTAGTTTTCCGTTTTCCAGGATTTTTTTTTTCTTTTTGCCCCTCCTGCTTTCCGCTTCCTTCCCCCTCCCACCTTTGGAATTGGATGCAGCCGCTCTTGTTACTTTGCTGCGCCTCGCGTCCTCCTCTCCCGGCATGGACGTCTAGAGGTCTCTGCCTTTGCTGAGAGTGTTGTTTAGTTTATGAATGGTCCCAGGGCCCTGCTGGAGGGAGGCGGAGCTCCGGAATCCTACAATCACTGCTCGAGCTGTCAGAAGGCCAGCCAATCGCAGGGCCGGGCTGTGTGCACGTTTGGTGCGGCCCGCCACTACTGCATATACTGTGGGGGAAGGGAGGAGGCAGGAGAGATGCTGAAGGCACATGTACAGATGGCACACACTTACGTGGGAACAAACACTGCCCCCCTTTTCCCCAGTCAGTGTAAGGCCAGGAAAGAAGAGCGATGGCCCCCTAAGAATGATTCTGGACTGGAGTTGGTTGGAATGATTAAATATTGCAATTAAATATGCCCCTGCCAGTGACATTTACAGGGTTTCTGCACATCCTGCAGTGATGTTCAAGATCAAGGTGTAACTTTGGTGAGGTCTAGGTTGCATTCCCACACGAGGCCTTTGCAAGGGAGACTGAGTAGTGATGTTAAAGGGCAGGATTTTTTTTTTAAATCTGGGCTACGGAGTGGAGAGAGAAGTGCAGTATTTCTCTGGAAACACAAATCCTAATTTGCTGCTTTGCAGATGGAGCCTTAATGAAAATGAGACAGTTATTATAGTAGAATAGAACACCTCATCTTTCTACCCTAAATGAGGCTCTTACTTAAAAGGTAAAATTCTGTACTGTACAGCTGACTGATTATGCGTTTTCTTCACCCACAAATAGTTTAATAGCCCACTCATTTGGACAAGGAAACTGCATATTTGGAGACTTTTAAGTTTGGGCATATGCATTGCATTGTTTGTGGGCGTGCTCTGTAGTTATGTAAACAGAAGTTTTAGAATATTGAGAAGAATGCCCATATTTCAAAATACATTACCCTCTTGTTAAAGTTTGAAATTAAGTATTTCTATCTTCTATTAGTTTTCTTTGCCAAAAAGTAACAGAAATTTTCCGCAATAATTGATTTTTTGTAAGTGTGGTGCAGTTTTAGTGTGTGTGCAGGGTGCAGCTCTCTGTTCCTCTCTTGCGAGTCCCCCCCCCCCCATATGAGCGTGTACCCTAGCACTATGGCAAATCCTTTACATTTAAGTAGTAAATGAAGTATAAAGTGTCAGGTCTTTCCATTGGTCTTCAGAATGGGGATAATTGGCCATCGAAAACAGCATTTCCTTTCCCAAATTTTTAAATATCCATGTCAAAATACCACCTTTTAATAGATGTTTTACAGAATTTTAAGATAAATATGCAGTGATGCAAATAGTAACATTTCAAATGCCAGATGTTCCAGAAGTTCTTGTGATATTTTGCTTAAATATGTGATGCAACTTTTTTTTTTTTAAGTGTGGATGATAGTGTTTCAGTTAAAGGACTGCTGACATTCCATCATTATTAATGTTCCCATTAAACCTCCGTGGTTTCCCAGTTTCTGGGAAACAAATTCCCACCTCTTTGCCAGTTTTTGAATGACCCTGAAGCAGCAGGAACAGTGTGACTGAGACTTGTGTCCTTCCCCATCAGTTTTCGGAAGGGAACGCACCGCACAGGAGTATTGTGATCACTCTGGTACATCAGGGGATTTGTCCACTTCTCTGTAGGTTTTGGAAATTGCTGAGGGAGGTCCGTTCCTTCGAACAGGTGCTCCCTTTTTTTTGGTTGACCCAGTCCTCCTTACACAGGAACCGATTGCAGGTTGCCTTCCACTTACACTTAGAAGCGTGGAGAGGGATCCGACTGTAGCAGATGAGGAGGATGTAAACGCAGCCACCCAACTCCAAGGAATCCTTGTCAGCGCGCTTGCAACTGGCTTGCGGGATGGGACTTTCCCTAGGCCCGACCTTTCCCTCCCCGAAAACCGCGTCGCGACGGTGGGAACGGGGAGGCTTTTCTTTTGGGGAAGCCGTTTTAGTTTGCAACTCGAAGCATACCTCCTGGAGTCAATGTTCAGCTGGACAGAGCGGGGCTGACTTCGAGTCAACGTGCCTTGGGCATGATCTGTCGGGCTGCGCTCCTAATATGTGGCGGCCAGGCCCATTGAACGCAACAGGGAGTCTTTCCAAGCTTAAGTACGGGCTGCTGGTAGCCCTCTAAAAACGATGCTGAGGTACGCTCCAATCTTAAGCACCTATTACTTCGATGCTACGTGATCTCGAAGGGAGCTGATTTCCCCGTCAACGATGTTGAGGATCGATCGGAGCGTCCGAGTAGGAGAAGAACGGAGAAGTCCGCTGAATTCGCCCGTCGTGGAGCTGGCGCACGGAAAAGTCCGCAACGCTGCTCTTGCCTCGAAGAGACCAACGTTGCGGGAGAGGGCGCGAGAGCGTGTGGTGTTGCTCCCCTCCCCAGCTGCCCTCCCGCGATCTCGGCGCCTCCTGGAGAAGAACCTGGCCATGTGGACGCGGTTGTCTCTGGCAGCCTGTTCGGAATCGCAGCCTTTTCCTGCAGACGGGAGAAGGTGGCGGGGACACGGCTGCGCAAGCAGCTCCCCACACGCGGTGTCCGCGGCCAGGACTGCGTCGGTGGCCGGAGTCGATGCCGCCACCCCCATCCCCGCCGCAGCCCCGCGCTTCAGCTTATCCGCCGGGACGTCTGAAAGACTCGGGCCCTGCCTTCGCCGTACAGGCAGCCGGAGGCAACCAGAAACGGCCCTGCGTTCGCTGGAAAGAGTTAGTTACCTTGGCGAAACAAGATTTCTTGCGGTACCTGCGGGACCGAGAGCCAAGCGCCCTTTTCCCCTCCCGGGAAAAGGTCTGTGATTGGGCACAAGTTTCCTCCGCTTGTCTGGAGATGTTTTCTCCCTGCCCCCCCCCCTCCTTTCCCATTTTTTTCCCCCCCCCCCCCCCCCCTCTTCTCTCGCCGCCCCCCCCCCCCCCCCTCCGGAGGTCGAGGCTCGAGTAAATAATAAATCAGTTTGAAACAAAAGCCGCTTCGGATTTATGGCCCGGAGCGCTAATTAGAAACATCATTTGAGCAATAAACTTAAACACTTTCTAGCAAATAATGCCTGTGGCGAAGCCCGCACCGCGCCTTCTGCGGCTGTCCGGCTGCTCTTTGGAGCCGCTTCTCTGTGGCGGAATTTGCTTTTGCCGGCAAAGGGCGGGGGCGGTGGGAAGGAGAGAAAGGGGAAGAATAAGTGGCGGGCGGGAAGGGAAGCAGGGAAGGGAAGCAGAGAGGATCCGAGGAGAGCCCCTGTCACCTCGCCTTGGCTGCCTGGGAGGCGAGGAGTCCATCAGCGGCTCCTCGGTGGGGCATCGGGGCGGGCGGAGTGGCAGCCCCCCTCCCGGAGCGGCGGACGCTGCATGCAACTCCGCGGGCCGAGCGAGCGCGTGTTGTCTGCTGGGAGGGGAAGCTCTCCAGGCGAAAAGCCACTTGAAGGCTTCAGTCCGATTGATCTGTATTCTCCCGTTATAATCCGCCTCATCATACTTGAGTTAATGAGGCGGGGGAGGGGGAGGGGTTGATCTGATGGGCCTTGACAAATTCATTAGGGAGGCTGCGGGACATTTTATTTGACTGTTAAACATCGTGTTTGTTTGGTTTAGGCAGTGCCAACATCAGCACGCTGCTGCCTGGAGCAAGAGTGGGTTGTTAGCGGGAGCTTCTCAGAAGGAGGCTTAGCATGGGAGCGCCTTGCTCTTCATTGGCTTGCTTGTCCTGCTGGCTCCCCTTGCTTTCCCAGGGATCCTTTCCCTTTTTGCCCTGCCGTTAAGACAGGTTAAGAATGGGTAGGTATAATCGCTGGCGTTGCATTGGCATGAATGGCTTGCTAAAGAGCTTCCTTTAGGATAGGGTGGCAGCTGAGGAGCTGTGTGGGATATTCTGTGCATGCACAGGAAATCACAGTTAAAAGTGTGTTGTTTTTACACATCTGGAATAAAGGAAGGTGCAGCTGAGGAGGTAGGGTGGTCTTTCTTTTGAAGGCATGGCACAGTGGAAGTAACTAAAATGCATACCTTGAAGTTTTGTTCAACTTTTACTGGCTCTTAATTTTCATGGGCTTACTTTATAAATAAAGTAGTCCCATTAATATGAGGCCAT